GGCAAGCGGAGAAAGGTAAAACCATCCAGACTTATGATGGATGTTTTGCATGGCACGGGCCTTGCCGTACTCGCCGACGCATTCCTTCCACCAGTCCATGTTGTCAGACTTCGTTAGCAGGTAGTCGCCCATCCAGCCGGAGACTGGCATCGCAGGCGTATCCTTCTCTTCGAAGTCCTTGTACCACCCTTCCTTGACCAACATGAACTTCATTTGTTTCCGATTTCGGCATAGCGGAACTGCTTGTATCTGTGGGTGGCGCAGTCCTTGCCGTACTTGGTATTGCAGCCCTTCCACCAGCCCATGTTGTCAGCCTTCTTCTGCAGGTTTGCGACCTTGTTGATATTGCGATGGCTTGGGGCATCGATGACGACTGTGTAGTGCCACTTCTCGGTGTAGAAGTCTTGGGTGGTGCAGGCGCTGGTCACCCCGCACTCGTGCTCCTCCTTCTGACAGTCCATGTAGAACGTGAAGGCGATGGGGCCTGGTACTAGGCATACGGCCTCCTCCTTCAGCTTCTCCAGCTCGCGTTGCGGAAGGCCGCCCAGGTCGTAGTTGAGGCGGGCGGTGGTGGTGCTCTCGCCGATGTCGACATGCCCGCAGATCACGATGGAGAGGTGCTCCTTCGCAAGAGTGGCAGGCATGGCAGACTGGTGGGGAATGATCCGAAAAACTCTGGGGGCGGAAGCGAACGCGAAATGTTCGAGCCCCAAGCTCCTGGACCTGACCAGGAGTGAAATGCTGTGGTGTCCTCGGCCCCCAGAGGCCGAGGACTTGAGCCAAGGAGGAGGAGGAGGAGGAGGAGGAGGAGGAGGAGGAGGAGGAGGAGGAGGAGGAGGAGGAGGGGGGAGGAGGGGGGGGGGGAGGAGGGGGAGGAGGAGGAGGAGAGGAGGAGGAGGAGGAGGAGGAGGAGGAGGAGGGGAGGAGGAGGAGGAGGAGGAGGAGGGGGAGGAGGAGGAGGGGAGGAGGGAGGAAGGTGGAGAAGAGGAGGAGGAGGAGGCGGGGGAGGGAGAGGGAGAGGAGGAGGAGGAGGGAGAGGGAGGAGGAGGAGGAGGAGGAAGAGGAGGAGGAGGAGGAGGAGGAGGAGGAGGAGGAGGAGGAGGAGGAGGAGGAGGAGGAGGAGGAGGAGGAGGAGGAGGAGGGAGATGCCGAGGGAAAAGGAGGAGGTGGTGGAGGAGGCAAGAGGAGGAGGCAGGGGTTGACGCAGGAGGAGGAGGAGCAGGCAGGAGGATATCCCCACGCATTTCAAACATATTGTGATGCGGGGTCCTACCGTCGGAGTACTTCCGCCGAAAATCTGAGTACGAATGCGTAGAGCGTTTCGTAAATCTACGGAGCCTTCTACGTTTGTATGGTAGACTTGTGCAACAACAAATAGACTCTGGGGCAAGTCAATGTTGGAGTCGATCCCCTACTCAAAAACTTGGGGCGTCCAGCAGCGGGTGAGGACTAGTGTGTGTGTATGTGCATGTGTATGTGTATGTGTATGTGTATGTGTATGTGTATGTGTGTATGTGTATGTGTATGTGTATGTGTATGTGTATGTGTATGTGTATGTGTGTGCGTGTGAATTTGGGACATCATGGCGAGAGCCATGGTGTATCTCGGACCTGGTGTCCCTCGATGCGTTCCCTCTATGCCCCCCCCCCCCTTTGCCGGCGCGCATGCCCCTGGGGCTGCGAGGCACCGACCCCCAGCCGCTTCCTGCCCCCCCCCCCCTCGGGCGCATCCGAACAACGGATCCAGGACTTTCTAGCTCCCAACCATATTGTGGTGTTTGGTCCTCGTTTTGAGGACACAGCGCTCCTTCCTCCTCCTCCTCCTCCTCCTTCCTCCTCCTCCTTCCTCCTCCTCCTCCTCCTCCTGCCTCTGCCCTCCGCGTGTCAACCATTTCGGCACCCCCTTCACGGGGTTCGTAGCCCCACAGGGAGCTCCAGCGAAGGCCCCAGTGGCAGGGTCGCTCCCCGGCGGCCCCCCGCCCGGGGGCCCCCGGGAAGCGACCATGGGGAGGCAGAGCTGCGGCCCTCTCGCCCGGGCTGTGGGCAGGCCGCGGCAGGGGAGCCCACCGGTCCCCACTTGGGCGGTCACCCGTAAGTCGGGCGCGTCCCTCTTCAGGAGGAAGGGCGCCCTCGAGGGCGCGAAGTTATTTCGCGCTTCGCCGTTCGGCTCCGATTCCTCCTCGTCCTCATCTTCTCCCCTGGGAGGCGGCGCGAGAGCTCGAAGTTATTCGCACTTCGCGCTTCGCGCAGCGCGAAGCGCGAAGTTGGGAGCCCAGGAGGAGCATTCCCAAACAGTAAACAGATAGTCCGGGGACGAGTTCCCTGAGATTGTTTGATGTTTGTTGGATGTGTTTTGACTGCTTTTTGTTGTTCGTCCAAGATCCGCCTGCAGGAGGACATGCCGGACAGGCCGCGGGAGCGGGAGTCGCTGCGCGGGCTTCCGGACCCGCGTGTCCCCCCTTAGGCGGTCTCCTTCGCTCAAGGCTCGGACCCGCTCAGCACAGCAAGTGTACAGCGGGGGTCGTGCGAAGTCCCCGCCGAGCTCGCACAAGTCACTGCCCAGCATTTCGGTACACCATCTGCAGCGAACCGAACACATCACCCTCCTGCTCTTCCAGCGCTCCTCCCTCCTCCCTCCTCCTCCCTCCTTCTGCTCCTCCCCCTCCTCCTCCCTCCTCCACCTCCTCCCTCCTCCACTTCCACCTCCTTCTCCTCCTGCTCCTCATCCTCCTCCTCTTCCTCCTCCTCCAACGCTCCTCTTCCTCCTCCTCCGCCTCCGCCTCCTCCTCCTCCTCCTCCTCCTCCAACGCTCCTCCTCCTCCTCCTCCTCCTCCTCCTCCTCGCCCCGACGGCCGGTGAAAGTCGGTACTTTCGGATTCCCGGATCCCAATCTACTTCTTGCGCCTTCCTACTTCAAGAACCGATACACGTTTGCTGTGATTTGTTGTTCTCTCTGGGAGGGCCTGAGCCCAATCCGCTACATCCTCCGACCGACGTGTACGATACCTGTTGCATGCAGTTGGCTTCGGCCCCCCCGGTGGGCTCGCGTTCCTCGATGCATCAGCGCTTCCCTGCTGCGCTGGGAGGCCCCGCGAAAATCAGCAGCGCGAGGTGGCTCGCGAAGCCCACTTTGAGGATCCCCCCTCGTCCGACCCGGTGCTCCCAGCCCGAGAGGTTGGGGCTGTTAGACTCACACGAACGAGCCCACGACCAACATCGCACACCCTGCTTCCCGCGGCCGCCAGGACCATGGAGGAGGAGGAGGAGGAGGAGGAGGAGGAGGAGGCGGAGGAGGAGGAGGAGGAGAGGGAGGAAGAGGAAGAGAGGAGGAGGAGGAGGAGGAGGAGGAGGAGGAGGAGAGGAGCAAGAGGAGCAGGAGGAGGAGGAGGAGGAGGAAGGAGGAGGAGGAGGAGGAGGAGGAAAAGGAGGGGCTCCCTTGGGGATCCTGCATCGCGGCCTTCACGAATGGCGATTGCAGACCGCGCTCTCGGGTGGGGGTCGCTCGAAGGAAAAGAGCGGTGTTCACTCCACAAGAAGGCGAGACGTAAGATTCGAGTGGGGATCGCTCGAAGCAAAAGAGTGGGAATCGCTCGCAGCAACAGTGGAGACGCAATATTCGAGTCCGCCAGAACTTTGGTTGCGGACGCTTTTTGGCATCTGAATTTGTAGGTCCAGTTTTCGTGGGATGTTTGCAGCTGGATGTCACGTCAAATTTCGGGCTGGGTCTCGTCATTTTCCTGACGGCCCTGTCGGGCCAACCCGAGGGCCAGGGCCCTTCGGGGGCCCTGCCGGGGCGGCCTCAGGCGTGGCGCGGGGCGCCCCGATGTTCCGTAGAGAGGGCGCTTCGCGCCAGGCCGCGCGGGAGGCACGCGTTCCTTGGGCTTCGGGGGCTGCGGGAGGTGCCGCTTATGGGCCCAGGGCGGCGACGACGACGAGGCAGAGGAGGAGAACGAAGAGGGAAGCGACGAGGGCGAGGGCGAGGAGGAGCAGGAGGAGGGCAACCAGGACGCGGGGGCAGAGGGGCCCCAAGAGATCGCCCCTCGGAGCCTCCTTGGGGCTTCTGGGGGGGATCTTAGGGTCCTCTTGCGCCCCCGGCTTCTCGCTCAATCTTGGAGCTCCTGGGGCCCTCTTGGCCTCGCGAGGGGTAGTGCTCTCTGGAGGCCTTGCCGGCTTCCCTTGAGAGCCTGGATGCACCTTGGGCCAGGGGCGCTGGCTAGCAGCTCCCGACCAAGGAGGCCGCAGCGGCTCTCCGCGCCGTGCACCTGGCGCTCTCAAGTTTCGGATTCAGGCAGAATGAGAAAGAGAGAGAGAGAGAGGGACAGAGGAGGGAGGCGCGCGCGAGGGCTGAGAGGGATAGAGAAAGAGAGAGCGAGAGAGAGAGAGAAAGAGAGACTGCCCCGCCGCGCGCGCATTCGGCTCAAGCAGAGAGAAGGAAGAGAGAATGAGAGACAGATAGGGAGAGAGAGAAAGAGAGAGATAATGATAATGTACTTCTCATATATCCGTGCTCCCGGTTTCGTTATCGTCGGTATCCTCCGCGCCACTATTCTCCCATTCCTCGTATCCAGCTGCCCTCGGCAGGGCCCGCCGACATGCCAGCCCAGCATCCTGTGTGGCGATTGTTCGAGGGGCACGGGAGGCCGAAATGTGTAGCACGTCGTGTCTCCACCCTGCGCTTGCCTCCAGGGTGCCCTGGGCTTCTTGGATTTCGGTGGTCTTGCCATGGAAGGCGTGACGCTCCCACACCAAGGATCCGTGGACGTCCTGGGGTCTCGGGGTTGGGTTTCTTGTGGAAGGCTTCTCGTGGACTGGCCTCCACTGTAGAGGCGGGGCCCTTCAGTGGACAGGAGTATATGTGGGCACGTATGAGGAGGGGCCACGGGGAACGGGCACGTGTACTGCAGCATCGTTGACGGATCATTGGTTTTATTTTGACCTTCCGCCGTTTTCTTGTTCTCTTCCTCCTCCTTCCTCTTCCCATCCCCCCTTCACCCTCCGCAGGTGCACCGTCAGCCAGCTCCCAGTCATGATGACGTCCGAATTCACGCCGGAGGCGCGCGCGTTCTCGTACGGGCGCGGCTCAGACCTCGCGGGCATTTCGAGGTAAATGCGGGCATGTCGAAACAATTGCCCAGGATGAACACAACGCATCTGCAACATGAGACAACATCAGCGGGCCCATCCCAGACGAATCAGTATTGTAGTGGCCTCGGGCCAGTGCCGCCGATCCGGGGCGCTCCGAATGATAATGATGATGATGATGATGATGATGATGATGATGATGATGATGATGATGATGATGATGATGATGATGATGATGATGATGCTGATGCTGATGATGATGGTGATGGTGATGGTGATGGTGATGGTGATGGTGATGGTGATGGTGATGGTGATGATGGTGATGTGACGACGGCGATGGTGATGGAGATGGTGATGATCCCGCCACCCTCCTCTCTCCTGTCCCCCCCCCTCTCTCTCCTGTCCCCCCCTCTATGTCCTGTCCCCCCCCCTCGCTCCTGTCCCTTCCCCCCCCCCCTCTCTGTCCACCGCCCCTCTCCGTCCCCCCCTCTCTCCTCCCCCCCCTCTCTCCTGTACCCCCCCTTCTTTCCTGTCCCCCCTCCCCCCCCTCCCTCCCCTTGCAGAGCGCCCATCTGCAAAGCGGACCCTCTTGCCTTTCCCTGCAGCTCCCGCTCCCGCTTGAGAGGGCCGCAACCCCTTTGCAGCCCCCTCCCCCCTGCAGAGCGCCCCCCCCCTTTCCCGCCCTCACCCTTGCAGAGCAAAACTCGGGGGGGGGGGGAGGGGGGGGCGAAATCGAGGGGGGGGGGGCTGGCAGGGGGGGGGAGGTACCGAGCACTGAATTCGACAGTTAATGCAGTTCCCTCCCAACCAGAGCTAAAGCTCATGCTGAGGCGGGGCTTCGGCTTAGACTTCTTCAACTCACACGCCAGATCGGCGGATTTGAACAGGCACGCTGCCGCTTAAGCGACATTATGCATAGGAAGCCTATGCCTATGCCCTGCACGCCCAAAAGGGTCTACAGGAGGCAAGCGCCGACGGAAAACGACGACGAGGAGGATTGCGCGAGGACGACGCTAAGGGAAGGGACAGATGATGGCCTGCAGGGCGCCGCGGACGGGGCGGGCGCGGTCTAGCCTCTATATCTGCATGGTGGGAGGACGCGGTTTAGCCTCTCGATCTGCATGGTGACGCCGCTTCTCTGTACCCCTCGGGCGCAGCAGAGCTGCGACGGATGCGCGCCCGGCGGCACCCCGTGGAAGAGGTACCCATGCCGCTACCCTTTCCTCGTTTTCCCCGTCTTGAGTCTCCTGGGAGGCCCTCGTCGTCACCGATGGATTCGCCTCGAAATTCTGTTCAGAGCGCACTTTCTCTTCGATTCCGCTCGGCCTCCCAGGGGCGCCGCAGAGGGGCGATCGTTGCGTGTCTGGCAGCTCTCAGGGCGACGAACTCTCGTTCGCTTCGCGTCGCACCGCACGCTGCCGGGCACACCAGGCCAGGCTACACCGTACACCGTCCGGCCACACCGTCGACACGCGGCAAGCTTGCAGCACCGCCCCCTGCTGGACCTCTCAGGGGCGCACCAAAGTGGGGCGCACCGCTGCGCGCCTGGCAGCACCTGGGGGAGGCCACGCCTCTTGTGATTTGCGCGGGGCCCCGCTTACGCAAGGGAGGGAAATACACCCGGACCGGACAGTCGGCGTTCATAAACGGCCCTGGGCGTTTATTAAACAGCCCTGCCCTGTTCGATTTCTTCTTTGGGCACTTTTACTAAACGAATTCGCGTGGCGTGTCGGGTTGGTTCTTATATCGGTGTGGATGTTCTGCCCTCTACTTACGCGAGACCCCTCGGGGAGCCCATGCGAAGAATCACCCTGCTTGCCTCCAGGGTGCCCCGGGCTTCTTAGGTTTCGGTGGTCTTGCCGTGGAAAGCGTGACGCTCCCACACCAAACATCCATGGACGTCCCGGGGGCTCAAGGCTGGGCTTCCTCGTGGAAAGCTTCTTTCGCGGGTGGACAGACCTCCTACCCTGACACGTCGATTAAGGAATTGGTCGCTTTCGGTTCGCGAGAGGGCCGTGCGGCCGTCATTTTTGCGGGTCCAGGTCCGTCGGTGTCGGTCCCAAGCCGTTTTCATTAAGGGGAGGTTTGTTAAAGGGAGGTTGGCCCACCGCCGATTCTTGTGGTCGAGCCCCTCTGCGCAGTATGTCCTTCCGCTGTGCCTCCCAGGCGCGCAGCACACCCTGGACAGAAGGCGCGCTCGGCAGCACGCAGGGAGGGCGAGGCTTTTCTCGGTCCGCGCAGCGCCACGTTCTTCAGGAAAAAACACACAGACAAAATTCATCAATGATCCCCCAGAAAATATGGAAAACTACGGTAAGTGGGGGGGAAGACGCAAATCCAAAAAAAAATGAAAAATAGGGGAATGTTTTTATTTAATCGCTTCGCTCATTCCGCCGGCCCTGGAGCCCTCTTTAGGGCCTCTTGGGGGCCTCTTGGGGACCTCTTGGGAGTCTCTTGGGGCTCCTTGGCGGCGTCTTGGGGGGCCCCAGGGCCTCTTGGGGGTCTCTCGGGGGCCTCTTGGGGCAGGGGCGGGGGTAGTCGATTGCGCCCCCCCCCTCGGAGGCCACGATCCTCGTGAGGGGTGTCGAAAAATTGCCCGGTCCGGCATCTCTGACCCCCACCCTCCCGGGGACCTGCCGGGGTACTTTTCGCCCGGGGACTCCTCGGGGCCGCCCCGCGCGCGCGAATCAGAAATACTGTTTACCTGTTACCGGGGATCTTGGCACGCCCTGGCCCATTGGGCCGGCGAATTTGTATGTATTTATTTGTTCGGGGGAGCGTAAGACCCGGGTTTGCCGGGACTCGGGTTCGCCATCGTTTTTTGACGACCGCGACTCGGATTTTGACGAGGAGGAGTTTCGTGGGATGTCTGCAGCGGGAGGCCTCGTCAAAATGCAGGCTCGGCCTCGTCATTTTTTTGACGACCTCGTCGGGGATTTCCGAGTCCCCCGTACCCGGGTCTTACGTCTCCCCGATATTTGTGTGTCCCAGGGCCCCTTCAGTTCTGCTGGACCCCCTCGGGAGAGCCGCCAATAGGCGCGGCGAGAGGTGTGCGCTCGGCAGCGCGCGTGAAGGGTCCAGGCCCCGCCCAGTCAGAGGAGGAAGAGGTGCCCATGCCGCTACCCTTCCCTCGTTTTCCCCTTTGTTTCGGGGGAGCGTAAGACCCGGGTTTGCCAGGACTCGGGTTCGCCATTTTTTTTGACGACCGCGCCTCGGATTTTGACGAGGAGGAGTTTCGTGGGATGTCTGCAGCGGGAGGCCTCGTCAAAATGCAGGCTCGGCCTCGTCATTTTTTTGACGACCTCGTCGGGCCAACCCGAGTCCCCCGTACCCAGGTCTTACGTCCCCCTGACCGTTTGGCCGGCGAATTTGTATGTATTTATTTGTGTGTCCCAGGGCCCCTTCAGTTCTGCTGGACCCCCTCGGGAGAGCCGCCAGTAGGCGCGGCGAGAGGTGTGCGCCTGGCAGCGCGCGTGAAGGGTCCAGGCCCCGCCCAGTCAGCGGAGGAAGAGGTACCCATGCCGCTACCCTTCCCTCGTTTTCCCCTTTGTTGAGCAAGGGCTCCCCCGAGGGCGCGAAGTTATTCGCGCTTCGCGCTTCGCGGTCCTCGTTTCTCCTCCCCCTCCTCCTCGTCCTCCTTTTCTCCCTTTGGGAGGGCGGCGCGAGAGCGCGAAGTTATTCGCACTTCGCGCTTCGCGCAGCGCGAAGCGCGAAGTTGGGAGCCCTTATTGAGCCTCCTGGGAGGCCCTCGTCGCCACCGCTGGGTTCGCCTCGAAATGCTGGTCAGAACGCACCCTGGGAGGGGTCCAGGGAGCAGCGGTGACGGTACCTTTCGGCCTCCCCAGTCTGCTCCGCGCAGCGCCACGTTTTGCTGGACCTCCGCAGGAGCGGCACCGACCGTAGACGGGCTAATGGTGATGTAGGCAACGGCGATGTAGGTTTCGGTATTGTGGGAACGCGTGGTTCGCGCTTCCCTGCAATTCGCTGTGTCGTTTTCGTTCGATCCATTCGCAGGTTGGAGATGCAGGAAAGTGTGGTTCGCGATTTCCTACAATTTGGTTCCCAATGTCACCGTTGAGCAACATCGCCGTTAGCCTGGTCTTGGACCGAGGCGGAGAGGAGGCTCGTCGGGCTGGATGTACACACCACATCGCGTGGTGGGCTTGGGAGCCAAGGAGCTCGGCTCTGGAGCTCAAGTGCGCGGGCGCTCTCCAGCGGCCCGCCGGTCTTGAGAAGCTGGGGCGCACCGAGCTCGTTGGCTGGCCACACGGCGTGGTGTATAAATTGAGCCCCTCTCGGTGGCGGAAGGAAGGAGGAAGTCGCAGCAGCGCCCCCCATATCTCTTTCCGCGAAGAAAGCACGCCGGACAGTGTTTGAGCAGTTGTTTGCATCAGGGGGGCCCTCGCTGGGCCCTGGGATCGTTAAAAGCGAATCGGGATGACAAGCCAGTCCCGTTGTGACATAATCGCCACATTGTGACATAATCGCCACGTCTGAGAACGTGGCCAATTGAGAACGAGTGCTCAACACAGGACATTGGGAACAGCACTGGGTAGTTTCTTCCCAGACCCGAGACGTCTTGAAGAAGAGAGGCCAGAGCTCTTGTTCCCAAGCGGGTGACGCCTGCAGGCTTCCTGGGCCCCAGGACAGCAGAGTGATGCCCATGACAAGGCATCGGCCCAGGGGATGTCGTTGTTCGGCGTTGCCGGCGCCGCCCGTGGCGCGCTCCTCTCGCCAGGCAGGGGTGTCCAGCGCCGATCCAAGAGACCTGCGCGGAGCTCCGAACGTTGAATGCTTACGTACGTCGTTTATTATTCTTGGCGTCGCTCGGACATGTGACATGTGCATGTTTCTAAGCGAGGACCATCGAGGAGCATCTTGGATCATCTTGCGAGAGAGAAAACACGCACGGGGAATCGACGTCAGTATGTTGATGCAGTTTGCGATTTCTCCTGAGAGGTCATGTGGGTGCTGGTCCTGGCATTCCTGACGGCCGCCGGCGGCGTGATGACGGAGTACGCCATGAAGCAGAGGGCGCCGCCCTCTCACGGGAGGGAGGAGAGGATCGAGGCTCGGGGGCCAAGGAGGTTTGTCTGAATTTGCTTCGAATAGAATTGAAATATAATTGAATTCTCCCCGCCCACCAGAACACCCCAACCCAACCCGAAGGCCCCAACTTGCCCTTCATTTCCAGTGGGGGGGGGGCGTCGGGGAACATTGAACAACAGTCCATGTGGAACCCGTACCCCCCCACCCAACCCGAAGTTAGGGTCTTCGAGTTCAGGTGGGGTGGTCTGGTAGGTCGTCGGCCCTTCCTAGGCAGAAGCGTTCGGAGCTCCGCGCGGACTTCTGGGATCTGCGCTTGCAGCCCCCCTCCGCGGCGCTCCTCGCGCCGCCCCCGGCGGAGCGGGACTCCGCGCTTTGAGGCTCCGACGGCTCCGCGCGGACTCGGCGGAGCTGCGCCGGAGAGACCGGCGGCGCCGCCCGCTTAGCGCGCTCCGCGCGCCACACGGAGCAGGACTCTCCGCGCGGAGTGCTGGCAGTGTGTGTGCCTGGGCAGTCGGGAGGACAAAGCCCTGAGAGCCAGGGAGCACCAAGCCCTCTGAGCCAGGGAGGAGAAGGAGGAGGAGGAGGAGGAGGAGGAGGAGGAGGAGGACGGGGAGGAGGAGGAGGGGGAGGAGGAGGAGGAGGAGGAGGAGGAGGAGGAGGAGGAGGTCGTACGCTTCAGGCCCGAGCGCCCAGCAGCTGGCCGAAGAGAAGGAGGAGGAGGAGGAGCAGGACGCCGCGCGGAGCCCCGGAAGTGTGTGCCCGTGCAGGCTGCTCTCCTGCACGGCCGGCCCTTTTTTTGTTTTGCCTCGGGAGGCCGGGGCTCGAGCTCTTGTCTACGGTGTCTACGGCGGTCTCGTGGGCCGTTTGCGCTTGGATTTAAGCAGTGGCGAAGCGTTTTGGCTCGCCTATAGCCCTGCCAAGCAATGTTCTAAGAGCCTTTTGTGGTTCCCACGAAATGTTTTTAGAGCATTTCTGTCTCGGTGTCTGTCTTGGTTTTACACATCGGGTTGACGTTCTAGGAACATTGGTTTTGTTCTTAGAACATTTTGGGGTTCTAGGAGCATTTCGTTGTAGGACTATAGGAATGCCGGGATGGTCGGTCCCTGCTCAATTGATTCCGTCTCGCAGCAGAGGCAGAACGAAGACAGAACGAAGGAACACCCCGAACATCGGGGAAAAAACAACAAAACGTCGTACACATAAACTCTTGGTGCTCCGCGCGGATTTTTTAATCTGCGCTGGGCCCCCCCGTCGGCGCCTCTGGCGCCGCCTTTGGCGCGCTCCGCGCGCCAGGGAAGGGGGTCCAGCGCGGATCCAAGAAATCCGCGTGGACCATCAACAGTTGATGTTTATGACTATTGTTCTTGTTCTAGAGCAGGGGATTGGTTACATAATCGGTTTACCACAAACTGGATGGTACCGTCGAACCTGCGCAAGCACGTGCAGAATGCTCCGTATAACCAGGAACCACCTTCGCATGTTTTGTAGGATCGACGAGATCATCAACTCTGTGATGGATCAATACGGTAGTCTATCCCCTACCCGAATGCGCGAGTGTGGGTGGTCTAGTTTGACCACCAGGAAGAATTCGGAGCAACAGGGACGCACCGAAATTGAAGGGTTTTCACAGGTCGGGTCCTGGGAGGCGATTGTCGTTCGACACCTCGCCAGCGTGTCGGACAGACGCAGTGTCGATACTTTCTCTTGGTGCTCGAACTTATTTCTGGGATGTCGTCCCAGAGTACGATTGGATTACGTTGCATCTTCGGGGGGCCTCGCCTGAGCCCCTAATTGGTGTCGTCTCTCGTGCCCCACGCGGGCTCGATGCGGACTCGACGCGGACGTGGCGTGGATGCGGCGCGGATTCGATGCGGCTTCGACATGGATCCGACGAGTCCGCCATGGATTCGACACGGATTCGACGCGGAGAGGGCCTCGACGGGATAGCCAAGGTCCCTTGAGGCTGCGGCATGATTTCAGAGGCCGCCAGAGGCGCTATCGGGGACCCTCGCCGATCTGCCGTCTCGATGCACTCAACGCGCCGCTCAAGGGCCGAAAGCTGCTCAGGAGGGGAGCAACACAGACACGATGCTGCCGTCGCTCCCCAGGAACACACGGGGACATGCGGGAAGTGTGGGGGGGGAAGACGCAGACCTCGAAATTGGTAGAACATATATAGTGGGATCGTGGGATCTGTGCGTGTTAATACGTGTGCCCTTGGGCCCTCTTAGGTGTACCGCCACAGCCCCCCCGTGGTTGTCTTCGCGACGGGAGGGGGCACGGCTCGAGCGGAACGGTGCTCGGGTGGCCACCTCGTGGACAGTGCTCTTTTTGCCGTCGTGCTGCAGAACAGCCAAGGGTACCCTCCCCTGGGTACACAACAACACCCGACAGCCACGAAGAACACTCGGGCATACTCTCCCCGAGCCGACCTCGATCTTATACCTCGGTCCGACTGACGAGGCCCTCTGCGGGCCGCGGGACCGGCCCAGAAGCAACTCAGGACGAAGAACTTGCCCCGGGGAGGGGGTCGAGACTCCTTCTGGGGCGGAAAAGAGGGGGGTGATGACTAGGGGGGGGGATATCATGGCGGGGGCCATGATATTTTTCCCCAGATCTCGTGGCGCTCTTTCTTATTCCATTACGTCCCTGGCCCCCCCGCTGGGCCGCGCACGTGCCGCCGGTCATGAGTTGCACCCCCCCCTTCTTGGACACCCACCTCCTTGGCCGCTCCCGAGGTTCCTGGGGGTCGACGTGTTTTGACAAGAGCACGACGTCGGATCTCTGGGCGCGGCGCCCTCGGAGACTGGTCGATTGAAGACTGGCGTGCCCCCCTCCCCCTACGCACGTAAACGAAGCGATCACCACCGGCCTCGAGCTTATCCCTATCCCTCAGATTGACACGCCGAAAGGCGATGGCAATCTTAGGGATGCGCCCTCAAAAAACGAGGGAGTCCCTAAGGTTGGCATCGTGATGGGGCGATGCCCAGCATAGGGATAGGGATCTGCTCCAGGCTGGTAAGATCACGGAAAAGAGCTTGGGGAACTAACAATGACATAAACATAGAAATTCGGAGGTCCGCGCGGGGTTCTCGGACCCGCGCTGGACACCCCTTGCGGCGCCCTTGGCGCCGCCCTTGGCGCGCTCCGCGCGCCAGGGAGGGGGGTCCGGCAGGGATCCGAGAAATCCGCGCGGACTTCCGAGTTTCTATATTTATGTCATGTTTTGTAGCCCCTGCCAAGGTTTAGCTCGAGCTCTATAGAGCGGGTCTTGGGCGTTCCTTCGCCCTCCCCGCGCGACACGTGCCGCGCCCGCACGCCGTCTTCGGCCGGCGGTCGAGGCGGCCGTCGACATCAACCTGCAGGGGTGCGTGATCTACGTCACGAGCTGCTGCTTCACGGTGTCGTTCCTTCTGGTCGGCTCCCCTTCCCCTGGCCTCCCGCGGGCGGGTGGGGCTTGTGTCGCAGGGCTAGAGGTTGACACCAACACCAGTATCGGCGGCGTGCCTCCACCGAGAGAAGCAGATCCCGATCTCGGCGATGGTGGTCATATTCTGGCTTCCAAGGTGACCGAATCTTACCGCCAACACCGAGATCGAGGATCATATCTTCCCCCTCGTGGAGGCAAGCCCTTTGTGTGGTGTGGGCGTGGGCGCCCATTCCCAGGCCTCCACTCGTGGGCGCTGCGCGTGCGGGGGGGGGGGACTCCCGCCCGTTCCGAGGGTTGCGCCCAGGGCGGTTTCGGATTCTCCGGGGCAGTCCCGAACGCTCGCCCACGTCAGCGGGCAGCCGGGGATTGTCCGGGATGTCCGGGGGAAGGTCGGGAGAGCCACCCCCGGCCAGGAGGCCCACGAGCCCTTAACCCCTCACTGCAGACGGGCGCTCCGAGGTCTGTTGGGCCCTCGGGGTCCTGCTGGCCCCGAAGCGTGGGGAGAACGGCTCAGGAGGAGCAGCTGGTCCGGGGTCGAACCCCATGTGCCCAGGGCCCGTTTCCCCACGTTGCCGCAATTCACAAAAAGTAAGTACATCAGTGCGAATGCGATGTCTCGAGCGGGGCGCCGAAGAACAGCACGCTATGAGGAGAACGTTCCTCATGTCCGTGGCTTCTGCTGTTGGTGTGGACATCCCGCTCGGAGGGCAGCGCAGATGGGATTGACTCGACCAGAGCAGGAGGAGATGGGGGAAAAGGTACCGATCCTGCTTCCCTTGTCTCGTTGACCCCTTGTGGGGGCCTCCTGGAGGCCCTCGTCGCCACCGCTGAATCCGCTTCGAAATTCTGGTCGGAACGCACCTCGGGAGAGGTCCGGGGACTAGCGGTATTGGTAGGTACCTTTTCGTCCGAGGAGGAAGGTGATGATGATGAGGAGGAGGAGGAGGAGGAGGAGGAGGAGGAGGAGGAGGAGGAGGGGGAAGAGGAGGAAGAGGAGCCGGAGGAGGAGGAGAGGAGGAGGAGGAGAGGAGGAGGAGGATGAGGAGGAGGAGGAAAAAGAGGAGAAACAAGATAGGGAAAATAGGAGGAACAAAAGGAGGAAACAGAGGCGGAACAAGAGGAGGAACAAGAGGAGGAAAAGGAGGAGGAGGAGAAGGAGGAGGAGGAGAGAGGCGGAGGAGAGGAGAAGGAGGAGGGGGAGGCTGAGGAAGAAGTGGAGAAAGAAGAGGAGGAGGAGGAGGAAGAGGAGGAGGGGGAGGGGGAGGTGGAGGGGGAGGTGGAGTAGGAGGAGGGTGAGCGGAAGAAGGAGGCGGATGATGATGATGATGATGATGATGATGAGGAGGAGGAGGAGGAGGAGGAGGAGGAGGAGGAAAGAGGAGGGTCGGCGACGTGCGAGGAGGAGGAGGAGGAGGAGGAGGAGGACGAGGGGAGGGAAGGAGGAGGAGTAGGAGGAGGAGGATGAGGAGGAGGGGGCGCCCAGCGTGGGAGGCGCGGAGCCGTGGAGAGGTGAATGGGGCAGGGCAGGTCGAAGATCCTGCGGCAGCGAACGGGGGACGGGGAAGCGGGGGGCAGGACCGGGGGTGGCAGGAGCCCGGAGGCACATCACGAGCGAGAGGGGGAGAGGGAGGGAGAGGGAGAAGGAGAGGGAGACAGAGAGAGGGAGTGGGAGGGAGAGCGAGAGAGACAGAGCGAGGGGCCAGGGGTATGTCAAGAAGCGCCGACTGCAGCCCTGCTGTGATGACCACAGCCTGGAGACCTCAGAGACGGGGTTCGGTGGACGTTGTGTGCCAGTGGGGTTCGTGGGATGTCTTGGCAGTTCGAGCAAAACCAGACGCCCAATACACATCTGGGGATTCGATGTCTGCAGCACGGCCATGGGTGCGTTCGCAGCTGATCGGAGCATGTCCGAGAGAGTGTGCGGATCGCTATCGTATCGGAGCCGATCGCACTCAGCCAGGCACTGGAAGCCCAGATGCGGCTTTTGGTTTCGTGGTTCTGCTCAGGTTGTGCCCCCAACAGGTTCACACCTCCTGTATAATTCGGCTCGTGTGCGAAATAGTGCACGTGTCAATGGGCATGGTGGATCGGTCGGTCACATGTGGGCCGACTGCGTTCCCACCATGGGCCCCGAAATTGACACTGATCGGCAGATAATCTCGCGCGCGTCGTGAGGGGCAGAGGCTCCACGCTCGCTCGCCCTGGGCTGGGATCCTCCCGCTGATTGCACTCGCCCCCCCTCTGCCCCGGGCCTCGGCGCCGGGCCCTTCTGCACGGCGCCTCGGCCCCGCCGCCGGGCCCCCCGCCTGCTGGGAGCCGTGCGCTCGCTGAGCATTTTCTTTGGGTGGAGGGCAGAGGGTGAAGTCTGAAATGGTGCTTCGCTGGATGTTCGAGGCTTGAACCTGCAAAAGGTGAATCACAAGGCGGACTGATTTTCGAGGTGCAGGAGCCCATCTGGATTTCACCCCGAGCCCTCCACCCTAAAGAAAATGCTTCGGGTCGCCATGGGCAGCCTCTCGAGCCCCGTGGCGACCGCGGGGCCGAGGGCAGCACGCCGCGGGAAGCATCCCGTCGCCCGTCGCGGTGCCCCGCGCCGCCCAGGGAAAAGAGTCTGGGCCTCCCGCCGCCCGCCGCCCCGCTCCTCGGCAGCCCCGTGTGCCGCCACTCCTCCTCCTCCTCCTCCTCCTCCTCCTCCTCCTCCTCCTCCTCCCTCCTCCTCCTGCTCCTCCTCTCCTCCTCTTCCTCCTCCCCCTCCTCCTCCTCCTCCTCCTCCCTCCTCCTCCTCCTCCCCCTCCTCATCCAGGTCGCCCGGTCGCACCTGTTCCTCAGCGCCGCCGACTTTTTCCACGGGTTTGAGCCCGAGTGCATGCAGGCTCCGCGCCAGGGGTGGGCGTCTCGACTGGACGCAAGAGTGACCCTTCGCCGGAGTGACCTCTGGTGCGGGCCCAGCGGGGCCCCCCGATCGCGGAACGCGATGCGATGGTGGCGCCTTACGCGCCCGTGTTTGGTCCCCCCGCGGCCCCCCAAAAGCCTCTTACCCAGGGTCCTTCCTGCGTGTAGCCGAGCGTCGAAGGGGCGTGCAGAATCAGCACTGGTTGAGGCTCATTTGGCTACCTTTGAGCATTTCGTTGAGCAGGCTCCCCCTCCTACCCCTCCTACTCCCCCCCCCCTTGTTGGGCAGCAGGAATGAGGAAGCATCTGTTCCTCGTGAGACAGGGGTGGCGCTTGGCAATGATCTAACACCTTGCACCCTTCCACTCGCCTGTTGGTTGCAGGAACCGCTTTGGGGCCGTGGAACGGCAGATATTTCAACAATCTTGGCGACTGCGAGACCATCCAGGTAGGATTTTGGCTACTGCCTGATAGTGCTGTTGTTGGGGCGGGTATGCGTATATCTATACAGATTGCCAAGGCATCACGGCCGGTGCAGCCGACCCTGGAGGCCTCGGCCTTGCCGACAGGCCCCGGGAAGCTGGTATTCTGACCCGGGACCACCCCCCGGGACCAGCCCCCGGACCCCCCCCATGGGACCACCCCCTGGGACCCCTCCCCTCTGCGGGGAAGGGATCAAACGGCGTGCTTGAGGACGAGGGCCAAAGGAAAGGGGGGGAGCGGCGACGGACTCCGGGGAAGGAGGGGACGTGATGGCGGCGACGCGACGGCGGCAGCGACGGCGATGGCGACGGAACAGCCTCTGTTACACGCCGACAAGGTCGGGTTACATCTCTCTCTCTATATATAATTATATATGTGCATATATACGCATGTACAATTATACATTTACATGTGTACCTACTTATACATAAATTCACTACAGCTGCATATCGATCTATATATATATACAGAGAGAGATGAATATGTTAGCCAGCGTGGACGGTACGTTATTGCAGTCTATGCGTTGTAATTCATGTGGTGCAACGTATGCGATGCAACCTATATAATGCAATCCATGCGGTGCATTCTATGTAGTGCGCTCTATGTGGTGCAACATAGTGCAGCAAGCTATGTGGTACAATCTATGTGGTGCAAGCTACCTGGTGCAATCTATGTGGGCGGCGACGTGGCGCCGATGGGCAGCACCGCCCGGAAAAGCCGGGCTTTGGGCCCAGGCGGCGGGTGGCGTCGAGGCGGCGACGGGGCGGCGACGGGCGGTGCCGCCCGGAAAAGCCGGGCATGGCCCCCAGATTGTTAAGACAGGTAAACCCCCTAAGTGCCACCCTGGTTCGGGGCATAGATATGCACACCTATGTGTATATATATATATATAGATGTATCGCACGCAGGTGTCAATGCCAATACTGCCATCTAGGGTGCTCTTCCTCTGCGCCTCGACACCAAGACTCGGACGGGGAGATGGCGACGAGGGAGGGGCAGAGTGTGTGCGTGTGCGTGTACGTGTGCGTGTGCGCGTTCGTGTGTGTGTGTGCGTGTGTGCGCATGGTTGGTTGCCGCTCGCCTCACTGCACTGTGTGCGTGAGTGTGTCCTCCTCTTCCGCGGCCGCCCTGTCCGTCTCATCCCCCTCTCCTGCATGTTGGGCAACTCGTTTCTCGGTATCCCCGCTTCGCTTTTCTCCTCGCCGCCGACGAAAAAGGGTGAGTGTGTCCGCGTCGTGGTCCACATCGCTGGGTGCAATTCATTCGCTGCACGCCAGCTTACGGTTTCTCGTCCCCCTTCCATCCACAGGGTTGGGCGGCAAGTGGTTTGAGTGTACCGCCACCTCGCCGTAGAAATGACCAGTGTGTGCGCATGTGTGTTTGCGGTTTTCCGAGGCGCAAGCGCCTCTTGCGCTTTTTCTTGCTTCCCAGTACGCGCTCACCGTCGGTTCACCGTGATACACACGCGCACATGCGTGCGGCCGCACCTCACCGCCCGACACACCCGCGCTTCTTGTCAGAAGTGTGTGCTCGTGCGTGTGCCACTCCCGCAAATGTGACTCCGCCGCGTTGCTGCGCGTGGCCGCGACGCCCAAATGCGCGCGCGTGTGTGTGTGTGTATGTGTGTGCGTGTGTGTGTGTGTGTGTTTGCGTTTGTGTGTGTGTGTGTGTCTGTCTGTCTGTGTGTGTGTGTGTCTTTGCGCGTGTGTTTGTGCGTGTGTCCACCGCGAGCGACCCGGTTGGTCTCCTACGGGCAGATCCCTGGCCCCCACGCCGCGTGATTTGGCCCGGCCGCGCGCGTTTTCCCGCTGGATTGCCTACGCCACGCCGCCTCGCGCGTGGCCGCAACGCCAAACAAGTGTATGTGTGTGTGCGTGTGTGTGTGTGTGTGTGTGCGTGTGTATGTGGGTATTTGTGTTTACCGCGCCTCGTCATTCACGCCTGCACTGTGCACTGGTTCGTTTCCGCATCCCCGCTCTCCCAATCCTTCGCCCCGTCAACCCGTCCTTACCGCTCCCCTCGCTTCCTGCCTCCCCACGAGTCATGCTGTCGATTCCCCATGGGCGGATCCAGTGTCCCGACGCCGCGTGACCTGTGCCGGCCGCGCGCGTCTCACCGCCCGACTTTCTACGCCGCGCCGCTGCGCGCGTGGCTACGACGCCTAGAAGTGTGTGTGTGTGTGTGTGTGTGTGTGTGTGTGTGTGTGCGTGTGTGCGTGTGTGTGTGTGTGTGTGAGCGTGTGTGATCGTGCGTGCGTGCGTGCGTGCGTGCGTGCGTTCGCGCGTGCGTGTGTGTGTGTGTTTGTGTGTGTGTGCGTTCCAGGATCCGGCCCCGGATGGCAATGCTGCGGCCTCTGAGGCTGGGCTGCGCGCGTCCGCGGCGATTGAGTCCGCCCTGCCGCTGCGCGCGGTGCCGCGATCGCCCACCCCAAAAGTGTGTTTCAGGTTGGGCGTTCGGTACACTTCTACTCCTGGTTTCTTAGGCTTTTTCCGTCTCCATGCCTGCAATTTGTTCGTGCTCGCCCAGAGCAGCCACCCACATTTTCCTGCACGCGACTCGCCCTACGTTGTCCACCAATTTGCTAAGTATGGTGGAATGAACGCTGATCGCTAGCCGTTCGCTGCAGTGACGTCACTCGGCCGCTTGAGGAAATTGTGTGTATGCGCGTTCATGCGTGTGGGAGTGCGCGTGTGTGCGCGTGTGAGTGCGAGCGCCTGCGTGTGTGTGTGTGTGTGCGAGTGTGTGTGTGTGTGTGCGTGTGTTTGTGTCTGTGTTTGTTTGTGTGTCTCTGTGTCTGTGAGTCTGTGTGTCTGTGTGTCTGTGTGTGTGCTAGTTTTGGCGCTGGTGCAGCCCACTCTATCTGCCTCGCCGCCGACGGAAAAAGTGCGTGTGTGCGCGTGTGTGTGTGTGTGTGTGTGTGTGCGTGTGTGTGTATGTGTGTGCGTGTGTGTGTGAGAGAGTGTGCGTGTGTGTGTATTGTGTGCGTGTGTGTATGCGCCCGTTCGTGTGCGTTTGCGCGTGTGTGTGTGTGTGTGTGTGCTTGTGCGCGTTCGTGTGCGTGTGCGTGTGCGTATGCGTGTGCGCGTGCGTGTGCGTGTGCGTGTTCGTGTGCGTGTGCGTATGAGTGTGCGTGTGCGTGTGCGTGCGCCTGCGCCTGTGCGCGTGTCCACGTGTGCACGTGTGCGCGTGTGCACGTGTGCACGTGTGCACGTGTGCACGTGTGCACGTGTGCACGTGTGCACGTGTGCACGTGTGCACGTGTGCACGTGTGCACGTGTGCACGTGTGCACGTGTGTGCGTGTGTGCGTGTGTGCGTGTGTGCGTGTGTGCGTGTGTGCGTGCGTGCGTGCGTGCGTGCGTGCGTGCGTGCGTGTGTGCGTGTGTGCGTGTGTGCGTGTGTGTGCGCGTGTGCGTGTGCGGGTGCGGGTTCGGGTGCGCGTGCGCGTGGGCGTGGGCGTGGGCGTGGGCGTGCGCGTGGGCGTGGGCGTGGGCGTGGGCGTGGGCGTGGGCGTGGGCGTGGGCGTGGGCGTGGGCGTGGGCGTGGGCGTGTGTGTGTATGTGTGTGTGCGTGCGTGTGTGATCGCCCGTGTGCCCGCAGCTCGGCTTCCAGTCTAGCCGAAGCCTGGGCCGATTCAGCCTCGATCTCGAGCTTCAAGCCCGACCCCCGGTGGTTCCGATTATTGGTTGCACGCGAAGGGTGGTTGTGCATCTGCGCTCCGAGACGGCAAGGGCAGTCTCAGAAGTCCTCTCGCCCCTTTCTGGGGCCTCCCTGGAAGCCCCCGAATCTCTCGCGGATGCCCCCGTGCCTTTCTGAAGGGACACCCTCTCGTCCCGAACCTTCGTGCGCACCGCCAAGATCTATCGGGGGTCCCCAAACGGGGCGGTGACCACACCGTGCGGTGAGTCGGTGGGGATTCGGGGTCACCGCACAGGTTTGGGACTCGGGTCGTTCTCCGAGGACGCCTCAGGCAACTGGGGCCTCCGAGGTCCCAAGATCGTGCGGTGACGGACCGGGCGGTGAGGTCTTGGGGGATTTCGAGGTCACCGCACGGTCTGTCACCGCACCGTTTCGGGACTCCAAAATCTAGCCCTCCCAGATGGGGTCCAAACACATAAGGTCGAAGGATCGCGCCGCATCGCCGATGCATTGGCGATACAGCTCGATGTGCAGCCCGTGCGATGACGCCGATGCATTGCCGATGCATCGCCGATGTTGGCGACGCATTTTAGCGATGCGGCGCGATCCTCTGACCCCATCTATACTCGGCCCCCCATTCCTGAGGGCTGACGATGCAAAAGAACAACACCGCAACGAAAATCTTGACCGGAGTCTGAGACCACACCCTTTCTGCGTCATTCCCTGAGCCGGGCACTGGGCGACAAACGCCCGTGGTGAGCAAGTCGCAGCGCCAGGATCTCAGGGATCGCCTCTTCGGACGGGGCCAGGACGAGGACAAATCCGTTCCAGAGCGTTCTGGAACGCTCTCAGAGCGCTCT